TATTTCTTAGCTCCTGCGGGTTTTGGTTTCTCATCCCAGCAGTTTTTTAAATGAATTGTTATCATGCACACAAGCGTTAGGCAAATAAAACTAAATTTCTGCTAACCTGATTAAACATATTGCATTACAATATTATGAACTATACTGTTCGAATACGGTCCAAAGACACGAAACTGAGATCACGTATAGCAAATCCAGGCGGTCTACTTGTAACGGTCGTTGCCTCGTACTACTAGTGTCATAATAAAAAAGAATTTATTAGTTTAAGAAGGAAATTCGAAAATAACATGACAAATGCCAAATTATATTTCAATATTTCGTTCAGAACGAAACCAGTGCTTTTGGTGGATAGTTAGAAACGTTTTGTTTGTTTGTTTACTTCTTAGAGCAAATCTGCTGTGTCCACCGCGGAGAATCGAACCCCGGAATTTAGCATTGTAATTCCATAAACTTAAGGCTGTCTCACTGGGAGATAGTTAGAAGAAACGTTCCATTATTAACAGGATGTAATTATTATCTAATTGTCCAAGAAGAACTCTTGATAATCTCCAACGAATTTTACAGCTTTAACATTCACAAAACGCAATAGTCACCACTTGTTAAAGCTTAAAAGTGCTTATTGAAACGAATCTAAAAATAAAGTGCAATAAGAAGAAATGTGGCGAACATAATCTTGTGTGAACTGACACAGGCTAAAAAATCTCAAATTTTACAGCTTTAACATTCACAAAACGCAATAGTCACCACTTGTTAAAGCTTAAAAGTGCTTATTGAAACGAATCTAAAAATAAAGTGCAATAAGAAGAAATGTGGCGAACATAATCTTGTGTGAACTGACACAGGCTAAAAAATCTCAAATTAAGCATGAAGTTGGCGTTTCACTATCTGAAAACAATTTATACATTAAATAAACAACTGATAAGAGTATAAAGCTTCAGTTGACTTCTTATCGAAATTAGAAATTTTTTATTAATCAGAATTTACCACTGTTAAAATCCAAGTGTGAGAAACTTCAGTTTTAAAACGTAACTGAAAATAATCAGTTGACTTCTTGTCCAGTCTATAAATGGCCCAAATGGTGAACAAAAATATGTTGAAATTGATTTTCCTAAAGTATCGTGTAAATTTAGTATTTGAATATCTTCAGTTTTCTGACGATGAGGTTTGTTGTTATTTAGCATAAAGATGCACGCTAGACTATCTGCACTATGACCACCGCAGGGAATCGAACTCTGGATTTTAGTGTTGTAAGTTTGTACAGTTACCGTTAACCCATCGGGAAACCTGACGATCAAAATATATATGTGACTTTGATGTAGGTATGACTTAACATTCTTAAAAGTTTCACATGTTCCCGTCTTAAAATCTGCTGTAACCATGGTTTTGTCATTAGTACCAGTTCGAATTTACTTTAATCGTTTGATTTGAACCGTATAATTTGTTCGCATCATTTCAGAATAGGGGAGAGGTAGTTTAAGAATAGCATGGGAACAAAGCCCATTGAGTTCTAATAACAGGCATATCATCAACTGACCGTAATTGTTAACTCTATAACAATATAAGATATATGATACGAACGAATGAGAAAAGTTTGATTCATTTCCGGTACAAATCCAGAAGAAAAATCCCGAAACTCAACAAGCTGAAAAATTCTCAAGCCGACACACCAGTTCATTGGCTTTATTATTTTTCATTTCAAAGCTTGAAAACCTGCCAATCATTAGAGTTGCCTTATAACTCCAATGGTTACAATATCGGGCGTGACACATGTCAACAAAAATTACCGGTAGGTCCACTCACCTACGTCCCTGCCATACATTCACATGGAATATCTATATATATATATATATATACACACCTGTATATGATTGTTTATATGTGTGTGGAAAATATGTTAATGTTTTTAGCTGTCTCTTATTTCATTTTTAAACTTCTCTGGGAGTTAAAAGTTCCTAATATTAAAGTTTCTAGAAAGACTTTAGGTTGTATCAAAATTCACTGCATTAAGCTTTCTTCAGATCTATACGTTAATAAACCCTTACTTCACTCAAAGATTCCTTCAATTACAGATTACCAGTACTAAATTTTCATTCAGCAGTCTGATACTATTCTAATGCAATTAAACTAGTAACGTATTTGTTTGAAACTCATATAATTGTACATGGATTAGCAAAATCAGTTTTTATTAAACTGTTAAATTTTTAGAATAAGAATTTTGTTTTAAGTTTAATAATAGCACTTATGATCCAATCAATAGACAGCGTTGCTGTGGCTCAAAATTACTACCTAGTTCAGCAAGCCTGTTGTTTTGTTATGAAAAACAATGGTCGAGTAATTGTTCCGAGAGTTTTAAACCTGTCAAATATCATAGGTATGTTGATGGTACTTTCGTTAGCAGTATAGTGGGTATGCCGTTTAAGCACCTTTTGTTACTTACGCTCCTAACCACTTGTTCCAAGAAAGAGGTGAATAGTGAGTGACTCTTTGTACGGTTGTAAAATAACTCCGTATTAATAATGTTAAGATTGTGAACTGCAGAGAATAGTGACTCTCTGTACAGTTGTAAAATAACTCCGTATTAATAATGTTAAGATTGTGAACTGCAGGGAATAGTGACTCTCTGTATAGTTGTAAAATAACTCTGTATTAATAATGTTAAGATTGTGAACTGCAGAGAATAGTGACTCTCTGTATAGTTGTAAAATAACTCCGTATTAATAACGTTATTGAAGTAGCCAATGTGGTTCAAGAGTAAGTATACATTATGCATGTGTGTATATGGAAATAGCCAATGTGGTTCAAGAGTATAAGTGTTCATTGTTTAATTTTTCCACAATCGCCCCCCAGTGGCACAGCGGTATGTCTGAGGACTTACAACACTAGAATCCGGGTTTCGATACCCGTGGTGGGCAGAGCACAGATAGCCCATTGCGTAGCTTTGTGCTTAATTACAAATAACACAATTTTCCAAAATCACCATACTCCATCATAAGAAAGGTCATTATAGATAGAGTTGAAATACTTCAACCCTATACGTGGGTATACACGTGTGTACATACATATGTCTGTTAACACGTGTGTACATACATATGTCTGTTAACACGTGTGTACATACATATGTCTGTTAACACATGTATACATATATATATATGTCTGTTAACACATGTATACATATATATATATATGTCTGTTAACACGTGTACATATATATATGTCTGTTAACACGTGTACATATATATATATATATATATGTCTATTAACACGTGTACATATATGTCTGTTAACACATATGTACATATATGTCTATTAAGACGTGTACATATATGTCTGTTAACACGTGTGTACATATATACACCTGTTAACACGTGTACATATATGTCTGTTAACACATGTGTACATATATATATATACGTCTGTTAACACATGTGTACATATATATATGTCTGTTAACACGTGTACATATATGTCTATTAACACATGTGTACAAATATATATATACGTCTGTTAATATTTCTACCTAAGTATGTATTTTAACGTGTATGTTTGAGTATGTATTTACAATGTTAATAACTTTGATCATCCGAGACAATGTAAGGGTGATAAACCACGATAGAGGACTTGTGAAATATGTATGTATGTAGATCAACATGGGTAATGTATATAAAAAATGTATATACTAGGGCTATCTGTGCTAGCCGTCCCTAATTTAGCATTGTAAGACTAGAGAGAAGGCAGCTGGTCATCACCACCCACTGCCAACTCTTGGGTTACTCTTTTACTAACGAATAATGGAATTGGTGGTCACATTATAACGAACCCACGGCTAACAGGGCGAGCATGTTTTGGTGGGACGGGGATTCGAACCCGCTACCCGCAGATTGCATTCGAGCGCCCTAACCACCTGGCCATGTCTCAATGAAAACAATGTAAAATAAGTGAACATTTTCTAAAAAATGATTTTTCTGGGAACTACTGCACGGGAAAAGTGTTCGGATTGTGCTGGTATAAACTGTGATGTTTTTATATATTGAAGGTAGTACCCGTTATTGAAAAAACATTTTTTCAAAACTCCATTTTTTGAGTACTCAATTTCCAAATTACATCTATAAAGATATAATCAAACCCTCACGTCCAGTTCTAGTGATAGTCGTGAGGTGACTACATTTATTTAAAATTGTGTTCTATAATAAACAAATGGTTGTTGCACATACTAAAGTTATTTTTGTAATTGTCTGAATCTTGAATATCCAAAGCGGGAATTTTTTTATAGATTTTCGTTTGTGGTGTCATTCAATAGATGGCGTTACATTATATTTATTATTTTGGTAACGCACGTAGATGCATATATACACGCTGCGTCCATTATAGTAAGATTAGTAGACAATTTCTAACATCTTCAAAAGAATTTAAGCTTCTGAAGTCATTGAACATAATGAAACCGAGAAATATGAAATAACATTAATAGTTGTCCCACAAATTAGTAACCAATTTGTATGCTATAATGAATTTCGTTAACTTCAGCGCTGAGCACCTTCGTTTAGCATCATATAAAACAATATGAAACTAGTTATATATATATACCCATATATTTATATAATAGTTAAATATATTATTATAGGATTGAACAAATTTACCATGTTTTCATGCAGTTCTGAAAAGTATAAAAATATATTTTAAATTATGGCCACATCGACTATTTACGAGTCCTTTTATCACAGGCCGAGCTGTAAAAAAGTGTTCCGCACATTAGAACCTTTATTGCACTATAAAAGTGACAATAAAATACATTATTCGATCAGATAAAACTGGCACGAGCGTTGGCAGTGGGTTCTGTAGACTAGTTGCTTTCCTTCTGGTCTATCAATTTAAAATTAGGGACAACTATGCACAAACAGTCCTTTGTATCGTTTCGCGATTAACGGTGTGAATTTGCTGATGCAAACTTTCATTTTACTGCCCTGATAAATAGTGACTTCAAACACAACTATTTCAATAATAAATGTTTCACGCTGTTATAAGGTTTATTATTTCGTACAACATCTCACACTAGGACACAAATAAAAGATAATAATTAACATTTATGTACAGGAATATGAACATGAAACAACAACTAACAAAATCAATGACTTATAAAATACATTATTTTTAACATTTTTTTATATCAGTACTTTCTAAGAAAGAAATGAAGGTTTCATTATTTCTTACTAATGATAAAATAATAGTTATATCATCAACTCCTTTTATCACTTCGACATTCATATTGTCTTCTGTGGAAATGGTCTCTTGACAATATTAAATACTTTAACTCACACAGTAGCAATTATTTCAAAATCTCTATTGCATCCATGATAAACAGTAAAGATAACAACATTTATATTTTCTTGGCAACAAGTGAATAAGGAATTTAATATTCACTGTATAATAAACTAATGTAAAATACCATATGTCTATGAATACAAGTTGGGATAAAAAAAAATTAGTTTGTTTTGTAATTGAGCACAAAGCTACACAATGGGCTATCTGTGCTCTGCCCACCACGGGTATCAAAACTCGGATTCTAGCGTTGTAAGTCCGCAGACATACCGCTGTGCCACTGGGGGGCGGGGGACAAAAAAAACTTCCTAACTTCTCATAGGATTTTTCTACTACATATAGGTTAGTGTACGAAATCAAAAAACGATGAAACTACTTTAGAGTAAGAACATTTTGTGTGAATACCTGACCACTATTACACAATTTCAAATAATTCTGGACACAGAGATTTAAACAGAGGTATGACTATGTATCAAATTGATAGTTTTGTTGGTAAAAAAAACCTGAGTAAAAAATGCTAAAATGCCTAATTCTCAACAAATGAATCTATTTTTGGTCAACCCTGTAAATGGAAAAAAAAAATTATTTATCCATCAATACCACACAATGCAATAAATAAATTAAACAATGCTAAAACTATTATTTCCAATTCCTAAATGACTATTATTTCTACAAACACACACATAGTTAATATTTCGGCTAAACTATTCTAATAAAATACATTAAGTTTAGTTAATAGAATGATTAAAATAAATTATGTTCAAATGCACTTCATAGAAAAATAAACTGGAATCTTTCTCTTTTAAAATATCAAAGTTTGTGAAAAACAAAGCTCATATATTTTATTCTAATGGAATCAATGGAAAGCACTAATGAAAAAAATCACAGTAACAACTTTCACTTAACAAACAAGTTAATCAAAGCATCACAAATTAAAGAAACTTTATAACAATCATGTATATTATTTACTTCAATCAAAACTTGAAAGAATCTTGAATTAAGAACTTCAAGCTACATAAAAACATAAGGATTATATCTTGGGTCTCTCTGATTTCTATATTTCTGAGTGAACCAAATGCTGCACACCTACAAAACAGGAAGAAATGGGTGTTACATAAATTATATATGACGCACTTGCCTATTGCCCATAAAATGTTCTATACAGTACTCTTAATATTGTAAATAAAAATCCTTAAATCGGTTGGAACAGAAAAAAAACAACTTCTCAAATATACAAAATTTTCTGTAACAATCAACAACTAAATATTTAACCTTCATAGTGATAACTAGTTTGTATATGGTTCATCACAGGTGAGGTCTACATTTTGCTTCATACTGAGTAATTCTTTGTTTTACACTAAGTATAAAAAACTTACAACAATACTGGGTGAAATCACTTGTAAAGTCCACAGGAAACCTAGCAGTAATTAATTGTATTAATGATGTTTTTTTTTTTTTAGATTTTGTGATTCATATGTTATTAGAAACTCAGTTACTAACAGTTACAGACACATAAGACATTTGGTGTATAAATAGTTCAGAAAAACATGCTTAAAAAAGCTGATGGTTGGATCTATGTACACCTTAACCAGTAATTCTATAGTTAAGGTATTATTAGTTGGTTATTTACTTACAGTTTTATACACAAATAATCAATCATAACAATCTGTGCAAAAAAATGTTCATGATTAAACTACTACCATGATGTTTACAAATAAGTAAAAATACTCAACTGAAAAAGAATTATCATTGTACACATTTTTTAAATATGCTGATAATTTCATAACAATAAATTTTAGTTCTTAATAAAACGTGAAGTCAGTAACACATTAAGCATCTGAAAAAAACTATACACTACTTCAATTAGATTTCAGAAACTTAACATTGTTTGAAAAATTTCATGCAATCTCTTTCAAGTGCAAAAAATATTTATTTTTAAAATGTTCAAAAAACTAGTTGGAGCGGAAATGTTTTTTAAATCACAAAATCGTGTTTATGTTTAGCTTTAGTAAAGTAATAAAAATTCATAATGACACATACTTAATGATATAAGTTAAAATTTGAAAAATTAAAAATTTTTTATTGTCCATGTACAAACAAATACTCTTAGTGTCAGCCTCAGTTATCCAAGTATTCCAGTCTGTTTTTTAATCTTGTTTACCTAATACTCAGTTGTGATTATAAATTTAGTAGAATAGCTTATCTGTTATGTGCAATCAGCCTCAGTTTTATTGTAAAGATTGGTAAAATAAATAAAAATAGTACTAATTATTTGGCACTAAAATGAACACTTCATGTGTTTTGAGATGACTTATCAGATATGGAAGTTATTTATATAAAGTTATTCAGATGATTTTTTTAGGAAACAATAATTCTACCTTTAATTATTGTTATCACAGTACTTGTCAAGAACAAGTAAGACAGTAAATGTACTTTTTAACTGATTAAAAAAACAACTTACAAGGGTAAAGCTGAAGAATAAACCAACTCCACCTAATAATCGAAGGCCATAACCTACTGTATCCTTTAATATTTTCCAGCATGGTTGACAAGCACAAGACTCTTCTTTCGGGCAACATTCTAATACCTGAAAACCATCAACAGATATAATAATCAAAGACAGAAAAAAAAATGCATACAGAACCACACAGTCTTCTTTACCTTAAGTCGACTTTTGCAAGTTGCAAGAGTTACAGATGTACATCAAGACTGTCAGTCAATCAAACTTAGCAGTTTCATTTTCAATTACTGACTAGTAATAAAACCTTACCTTACCAGAACATGTTGTACTTTAAAAGATAACATTTTCCTTACCTAAAAATGTACTTTAGATGAAGACTCACTTCTCTACACCACAAACAATTATTACCTCACATGTAAATTCCATTGCATGCCAAAAGTCTTGAACAAATTCCCCACCCTACACGTGTCAATGAGTATTGCACCTACCTATGATGTAACAATCATTAAACTACAGCCCTCCACCAATAGAAGGGTGAAAAATTCTCTATGTGCAGCAATCCCCATGAACATAGGCTCATTCTTGAGAAGGCAAACTAAATGAACAAGAAGTGGGGAAGAATGGTGGGAGGCAAGGTAGAGAGGTGAGAATCCATCTAAAATACATTTTCAGGTAAGGAACCTGAACCACAAAGAGCTAAAATCCCACAGTGAAGATGGTGGAGGGGCATGTGTCGAGAAATAAATTATGAAAATGATCTCCTTTCTGAAAATAGCATCAGAAAAGGAAAGCCCAAAGAGGCAGGGGTAGTCTAATGTGGCAGCAATTAGCAGGAGAGTGCATCCATCTCAAGTAGGGAATACTCTTGGCCTCTTTTATAGGTGGTAGAACAAAGTATATTCTCAAAAGAACCTTTTGGTGGGTACTAAAATGTGGGTAAGATGAGCAGAATGTCAGAGTACTTAACCATCCATTGTCTTACAGGCAAACACCTGAGCATTAGTATGTAGCATGGCTAGGGCTATAAGTCAGGCTGTTCCATATTGGAAAAATACTTACCTGAGGTTCTCTGAATAATTAGGTGCAGGTAGTAGCATTCCACATCTGTGTCCCAAAGCAAACCCAATACCCATCCAGTTGGACCTAACCACCAGGAATGGCTTGGTCCATAACACTGTGAGATGACCTGTACTACACTACCAGGAAACACCCCAGTCCTACTTCCCAAATGTGGGATGCATCCACTTGGTTTTGTACCAGTGGGATTGCACTACCCAATGAAGAACCCTCCATATCAACTTCCCCAGCAGCTTGAGATTGGGGAAATGTGTTCTCCGATATTCCACTAGAAGAAATGGGAGGAGGAAACCTGAGAGGTGCTTAGACCTTATCATCAGGTATAAACATCTGGAATTAGGTCTCACACTGAGAGAATCAATGCAATAGGTTACTTTGATTAAAGACAAGCAGATGTGAGTACAAGCACACACCTTATATTGTTCGGTATTTTTAAAGCATAGAACACACTGGAATATGATATATTGACATTGCCAAAGTAGTCTTATGGAAAGCCTCTTTTCAACATCAGACACTGAGAATAAGCAGGTGGGCTTAACGCTTTTCTTACTTCCCTGCTTGATGCAGATTTTGGGTAAGTATTTCCTGTGAAGCAACAATGGTAAGATATGTATATATACACAGATAATGAGAATAAAGTGGTTGTGAGACCTGAAAATGAAAGAAAAAAAGAAATATAAGCAAACTGCCACCAGAGAACCACTTTGAATAGTCGAGAATGGAGACTGGAGGAAGATGAAACCTGGGGTAGACAAAACCTCCAGTGGGGTGTAAGGAATGTGACATTCCTGTCCGCAAGATCTCATACAAGTGTTGATGAGAGCTAGAGGCAAGAGAAACCATGAGGGGAGAAACATGATGGGAGGAGACATGAAAAATAAGAAAACAGTCATCACCATAAAAGAATAAACTAGCTGAATGAGGTGTATAATCAAAATGGGCAAAGTGGAAGGAGATAAGTAACTAGATGAAGAAGAATTCCATTGTAAGAAAGGGCACTGGGAAGTGGTTAAAAACAGAATTACAATAGAGATAACAATGAACAGACTATACAAAACAAAGAAGACAACTTGGTTGAGAATGATCATAAAGGGAAGAAAAAAAGGAAAAATGGAGAAAACGTCAAAATACCCTCAAAAACCACCCATATTTTGGTTGGCCATGGAAAAATATGAGCTTGTTCCTGTGGTAAATAGTGGGGAGGAAGCCAAGATAAAGGTAAGTGAAAGCTCCTGCAAAAGAGAAAAAGGAAGAAATACACCCAAAGTATAGAAAAAAAAAGACTGAACCACATCAGATACAGAGCATTCTCAACATCAGTTGTAGAGTCTGGGAGTTGAGGTGGAAAAGCATTAATGACAGGATGCCCATAATGAGAGTAAATCTGCTGAAAACATTATAGGATGAAAAACCAATCTATGGGAAGGCTCCAGGCCTAAGTGAGATAGTAGATTCACCACCAGAGCCTGAGCTCCCAAGACATGATGAACCAATAAATGAATGTGGCAGTTGTGGGCCAAAAGAGAAAGTCCAAAGTCAGGAGAACATAGGTCCTGGGAGCGAGTTCCTCCCTGTTGGGAGATGGAAGAAATAACAAAGGAGATGTCTAAATGGATCATGATAAGAAGACCTGACAGGAAAGACATGGCAGAAAATGATGATAAGCCTGCAGATTAGCCACCAGCTCCAAGATGTAGAGACAGAGAAACCTTTCCCCTGGACACCAGATGCCAGAAATGAATTAATGTCCATATCCATACACCACCTGAACATAGGCAGTGGAAAGACAGGTCGGAGGATTGGTTGTAATCAAGCATAAAGTTCACCACAGATATCAAGGCTCACAGACATACTTCTGAGCACTGTACAGCTCTAAATAGAAAGAAGTCCATGAATGAGGGAGCTCCAGGGTTGTGTGGGATCACGTGTTTCCATCAACCACAAGAGGTGAAGAGAATACAGAATATCTCAGGATATACTTACATTAACAGACTATAAACCACTGAAAGGGACATGTATGGGCACATCCAAGAGGAATGAGGGACTTAAGAAAAGAGAGAGAACCCAAAAGAGATACATCCTCTCATGCAAGGAATAAAGAAGACATGTGTGGCTTGGTATGAAAAACTCCATGTTACAGAGACATGAAGAAGTAAGTTGATCCTGTACAGCAGATGAAGTGAGAAAGGTCCCCAAACAAATGAGATACAGAGTTATGGTTGTGATTGAATTGGGAGAGCCAAACCAGCTACCCCAAGTGAGATGACACCCAAAGAAGAAAACAGGTCACAACAGAGGAAACCACAGAGTTTTAGGAACAACAAGCCACCAAAATGAAACCTCCAAGTAAAACCCATTGGACCCAATGAAAAAGATAGGGCCATAACTAACTCAAAGGGAAGGACTGAGAACTGAAAGTTCAAATATTGCAAACAAACTGAAAGAAGCAAAAGGCAGGCAGACAAACTGAGATGTGTAGAGTGACTGATACTTTGAAACAAGATATCCACCACTAGGGAAAGAATCAACCAAAGAGTGAGAAAACTGTCCATTAGGAACCAAGGAAGGACCAAAGTTGTGTCAAGAAGGATAGACAAACTCCTATCATCATGGAAAAAGATAGAAGTAAAACCCAGAGTAAGGTTGAGAAATTGTCCAATGGCATTCAAAACAAATGCGGTGGAACATAGAAATACAATAAAAACCCCTAAGAAAGCCCAAGGAACTCAATAGGCTGTTGCAAATGGAGACTACCATTGTACAAAGTGGAAGAGCAAAACTCCCAAAGGATTAGAGTCAAGGGATGACTCCAGAAACAAATCACTCCCAAGATCTGTGAAAGCCAGCTCTCAAGGAAGGACGGTCTATACATAGCAATAAGAGGAAAAGGAACAGGAGAAGAGATGACTCCCACAAGGCTGCATACTATGAGAAAACTGGTGGAGCCCCCCTTGTACCAAAGGCAAAAAAACCAAAGTAAGAAAAATGATGAGACATCAACACTAGCAATACCTGTAACAATCAGAACCACTCTAATTTTATTTCAAGACAGAACAACTTTAGAGATACTAAACTGTTCTCTTAAGAAAATCTTTCCATCTCGGGTATTATTCTAGTAGCCCTCCTCTGAACCCTTTCCAACAATTCAATATTCTTCTTCATGGCAAGGAACTTAAGACTGAACACAATATGCCAAATGTAGCCTAAAAATAACCTAATCAATGAAATTATAGCCTTTTTAAACTTGTATTCAATTTACCTATAAATACAACCTAAAATCCTATTTGCTCAGTGTGTGGCATTTTTGCAGCTTTAATACCCAGCCCACCTTTCATACTTTCCTTATTAACTCAACTAGCTTAAAGAATACTTGTGTTCATCCTACTACCCTCCCACCTTCAAAAAATGTCTAGCCTATCACCAGTTTCCTAATGATTCCTCCTCCTCTAACATTCCCAAAGCTTTCTGCCAAACAGCCAGTATAAATGTTTTGTGTTCTTTCCTCCAACCAGAATTGTATTCTCTCACATAAGTGCACCTCCTCCAGAATTTCAGATGGCCATAGAATAATGCAATGTAGTAATAAGTTGTTAACTATCCTTATTTCTTGAAAACTCTGCTGGTTGACTGTTTCAGAATAAAGTAATGGTATCTGCACATTTCAGTTTATGTTCAATAATGAAGTGAAAAACCACAAATGAAACAAAAACAACAATGGGTTGACTTAAAGAAAGAAATATATGGGCTTTTCAACATTGTGATTAAAAAGATGTGCAAAAACAAAAAAGCAAGGCAAAGGAAGGCCATTTGACTAACTAAGGTTATGTCTCTCCACATAAAAAAAGAACAACAAAAACAAACCAAAGCTAAATACAGCCCTTCAAGTTCATATATTACCCAATGAAATTTTAAAAATCATTCAAAGAAACATAACATTCCCAGAGAAACCATTCCTTAGATTTATAAGCCTAACTGAAATCACTTTGTAATAGAAAAAATTAGAGAATTAACTGACATTTATGATTATTAGCTTATAAAACAGGTATAAATTAAATACTGAATATGATAACAGAAGACAATAGTGAAATGTGAAACTCACCAATAACCAACTAATCACTAATTGTAACTATAAGACTTTTATACTTTTTTTGTGTTAAAACATTATTGGCAAGCTTTGGTCTGACTAAAATTCCAGCAGAGAAGGAAAGTTCACTAAAAATAAGTATCCTAAGATGAGAAAAGTCCAAATGTCTTATTTAGTTTATACAACATTGTGTCTAAAAAAAAGTAATACAATTTTTGACAATAACTACAGATTTAACTTGGTTAACAACTATTTAATTTACAGTCAAAAATGCAATTATTTCACAATAACTTCAGTAACCAAGTACTGACACTAAATTTCAAATATCATATCACATAAACTTTAAAAAACTCAATACCTAGCCCTTATCAATCAGATATTTATCAAGCCTTCCCTAAAACTTACTTAAATTTATCACATCTACCACACCTGAAGGTAACCCATTCCAATACACAAACTCCCTGTTAGAAACAAAGCCTAATGGTATGGCCATTGTTTCAATGACAAGGCAATATAATTGAATAATGAAATTTATAGAGAACATGATTACACAATTAAACTTACCCCTTGGCATGTTGGGTGATCCATGGTGTCATTAGTACCCACATGCATGGTGGCATTATTAAAACCACAGCAATTAAAGTAACGCTGTGCTTTGTCCTTCATATCAGGAGATGAACTCATCCATCCTCTCTGTGCTAAATCATAATGTTGATCGTCAATCATTGCTAAGCAGACACAAGCCGTTACAAATTGCATAAAACATACCAAAGCCATAACAATCATGTACTGTTATACAGTTAAGGATAAAGGGCAATGGAATTTCACAGTAATTATATATTTATATACATACACACTTGCCAGCCTTTAACCAGGATTTTCTGGTGTGGGGAGTGGTCACAAACTTAATAACTGAGTACAAGCATCATTTTACTTAAGAGCCATCAGTGTTAATTAAATTTAATGCTCTTAATTGTATTACAGGATTAAAAGAGTGCAATTTCTGTTATCCTTTAGTAGAAAATATTTATGTTATATTAATATGATTATAAAGAAAAAATTGTTATTGTATAACTGAACTAGAAAAAAAAACATTATCAGTAAATATAATAGCACAGGTAACACATTTAACATAATCCATTATTCTCATCTTACAGAGTAAATGTAACTTTGTAGGTATTTCTCAGAGTTGTATTATTAAAATAGAAGGATACAAAACACAGAAGAGCTTGGTGATGCTTAATGGTTCCCAGAAGTCCTACAAAAGAAAGAATAAATAAAAAAATTCCACAGGAGAGAACTGCTCCAATAATACTTAGGTTGGAAATTATGCTTACTGCATGCCCATAAGTAGCTATACCGATCACAATGAAGGAGACAACCTAGAAATAAAATGTTATTAGAATTAGTTTTGTGGAAACTTGACTTATTTTTGAACACTTTATAAATCACTGAAGTAAACATGTTACATCTTTCAGTGCTAATTTTATAAGAATATCATATATCTTTGGTTAATGTAGTTAAATCTAGACCAAACAATTATGAATGTGCTACAGTTGATATTTTGAAACCAACGTGCACTACAAAAATTAAATAATGAATTGTGTAAACCTGATTATCTCAACAGACAAAAATATTGCTTATATGCATTAATTATATGCACAATTATCTCATACTGTTTTTTTGTAACAATAGCACATAAAAAATTGTGAGGTGGTTATCCTGACCTTTAACAAGGACCAGTTGGTCCATCTAGGCAGTCTCATCTAACAAAATTTAAGAAAAAAATACAACTAAAATCCAGCTTTTATCATTCAAATATTTATCAAATCTCCCCTTAAACTTCCTCAAATTTACTCCTTTCCACCACATCTGAAGGCAACCCATTCCAAAGACCGACTATCCTGTTAGAAAAATAAAACTTAGTTGAAGAAGACTCTACCATGACTTTTAACACCTCTATCAGATTCTCTCTCCAACTCTTTTTTTTTTTCAACAGAAAAAAAGCTTGAGAAATCTTAACCTGTCTTCATATAAAAACTTTTCCATCATCCTAGTAACCCTTCAATGTCCTTCCTAAGGTAAGAAATTCAAGACTGAACACAATACTCCAAATGAGGCCTAACCAGTGACCTGTATCCATTATTTCTGTAGATAAAACCTACAATCCCCTGTAAGTGGTGGGTTTAATTATTTTGATTTTCTCAAGGGTTGGTGTATAAGGGCAATCTTAAAGAACCAAATATTCCAATGTTTTGTCCAAATATTGTCACCTTAAATAAGATTTTAAAAATATTGCACAAAGAAATAAGATAATCCTGTAAGCTTCAATAAGGTCACCTCTTATCTTATGTATAGAGAAAATAGGGAATCATGACCAATCTGCATAAGATAACCGTTTCATTTTTAGAATCATCCTAATAGTAATCTTCTGACCCTTTGTAATAAGTCAATATCCTTTCTCAGATAGAGAGATCAAAACTTTACACAGTCTTCCATGTGAATCTTAAAATGCTGAACTAAAGATTTAAATAGAGATAATTACCTCGTCTTTAAAACGTATATTAGTTTCTTATACTGGACTTCCCCTACTGAAAGGTATTGAATAAAATAGGTATTGTTGATAGCTCAGAATAAGGGACTGAAGTAAACAATAATGGCAGCTTAATCACAAAAACTATGACACATTGCTCTTCTAGTTCTAATGATACAAATTGGACTCTATAATACACCTATTTGTTGTTTTTTTCTGGCAGCGATCTTACTGCATACATGCACATTTAATATGTGCTACCTGCTTTGTATGGTTTTTAATGTGCTCACTTTTGAAATATTACAGTGTGATAAATTTAAAAATTATAAATTTGTATTGTTCATATCTTGCTTTGTCTTTTATATGTTTTATATTCTTTCCTAACATTATTTCAATTCACGGTAGGCATTTAATTCATTTAACATCATAACATTCACTTTATTAAGAAAGGAATTTAATCAGAACCATAAAGAACCTTCTTACCTAGGTGATGAGTATGCACTTGAATACTTGACAGAAAATTAGGAACTTGTTGCTTGGTTTAGAAATTTTTTTTTTTACAGAACTTAACAGTTTTAAAACTTTACTTTTAAATAAATATGGCTGGATTGGAAGGATGAATATGACTTTATGGAGATCAAGAATAATTAGATTTTGGTTACAAGTTTCAAAAATGCAAATTTTTAAACATATGCAACAAGAATTTTCTACTGTGAATTGGACAACTGAGTTAATTGGAGACACTGAAGAAATATGGAAAAATTTTGAAAGTAAATTTTTGGATGTTCAAGATAAACATGTTCCATATAGAAAAAACAAAGGGTGTCTATAAGTATAAAATTATGTTGGCTCACAAGGTTATAAGTGATAAAGTTAAAGAAAAGCATAATAAATTTAAGAAGTTTAAATTGACTTCTATGATGAGAGACTTAGAGAATTATAGAAGATGAAGAGAGTTGATCAAAAAGAGTATATAAAGAAAAGACTGGATGCAAATGTAAAAATAAACAACAAGGATTTCTTTAAATATATTAATTCTGAGCTTATTAAGAAAAAATTGAGAAGTTTAAAGAATGATAAGGCTCCTAGGCCACATAATGTTTTTCCAAGAGTTTGAACTTCAAGTTAAGGAATGGATGTGTGAACCAATTGCTCAGTGCCAGATCAACCATGAGGCAATTGCCTCAGGGACCCCACAAAATAGGGCATCCACAAATATTTTGTTAACATTATTTATGAATATTGTGATATTCGATATATATATATAATTTTTATATTTGAAAGTTTGTTTTTAATACAATAATTTTTGTTTATTTCTTATATTTGAAGGGGTTTCTATAAGGATATTTACCTCAGGGTCTCCACATACCTGCACTTACTACTATTTTCTTTTTTTTTTTAGCCCTTGAATAGTGAGCAGGTGTCAGAGGATTGAAAGTTGGCTAGTGTTACTCTTATTTTCAGGGGAGGTGACAAACATTGTCCTGGCAATTATAGACCTATTATGTCTTTTACTAATGGTGGAAGGGGTTTTGAAAATCTTAAAAAAGATATTTTACAAAGTCTAAAATACTGTTGGATAGTCAACATGATTTTACTAAATGAAAATCTTTCCTTCATAATCATTTGACATTGTTTATTATAATATTAATTCCCATTTACAACTTCATGATATGAAATAGTAAAATACTTTTTAAAAATCTTAATGTTTAATATGAACAGTAAACTTATTAACAATGACCATCAATCATGTTGAACTTTAAATTATTCACAACATTTTATAAAAATAAGCTTTACTCTAGCTAACAATTGACCAAAAAAATACTATAATCGTATTGACCAAGTTTAAGTCTGTAAAACTTACAAATATTTCGGAGACATAGTTTCGGTATTTTAATTTCAAACTCATAACAGTCTAAGTTAAATTTTGCACAGCTACAATGTTACTATTGGCTTACATTTTACAAGTTACAACTTACAGTCAGTCACAATACCATTACCAGTTCGCGATACCCTAGAATTGTCAAAGAAAAACCAACATTTTTTTTTTCAACCAGTACAGTATTTAATATTAAGATTACTAATTTGCATCAGAAATGTAGAATTTAACTTAAAATAAATAAACAGCACTCTCGACTCCTAGGGTAAAACTAGTTACAACGACCACTTTCGACCTTACTGAGTTACTCATTCATAAAGTCTTTCCTTGTGTTTACTTATTTTACTATTTTAGCATTAGAAAGAAATGCGCGAAAACTTACTGTGTAAAATAAATTGAATATTATGAGAATATTCTTCAACCAGTTATATCCTATGCCCATTGTTTAATATACTAGATGTCTAATTTCTGTGGTTGATTACGTTTTCCTTCCTTAAATTTTCAAAATCTTGTCACGTTTATTTATAGAGGGCAGTTCATTCTGCTTTGATGTAAACTAATCATTTTGCTATCATTCCTGCATAAACGAAAAATATATAATATGTTTAAATTATGCGCTTGAACAAAGTTGGAATACAACAGTTTTTAGTTTCAGAGCTAATGTAGATGAATTTACCAGTATAATGTGACATACACTAATGGAATATGTATATTTTTTACTGCAATACTGTCTTCTAAATAATTCTGAAATATTTTGTCAGTACAAAACACAAATGTAAAATGTTTTCTGAATTGAAATTAATACTTCCATTTAACAGAAGTAATCAAAATACTTACCTGATAATGCTACATCTAGTAAATAAAAGGTTCCAATAATAAAAGAATGTCATCTATTTGTTTCTAGGCGCGGGTTTGTCTTATGATTTATAAATTTTGGGGCTAGCGATCAGGAATTAAATTCGGGCAATACAACAAAATAGTTCCGAACATTAAGCTGTAGGTGCGTTATAAGAGTGATAGTAAGTCTCTTATCCTGAATGGTAGGGTGTTACTGACTGGCTGCCTTCCCTCTAGTCAGTAGTTCATAATCAGGGTCGGCAGCAAATAGTCTTAGTACCTTTGCTATAAATATAAAATACAAATACTTTTAGTTTTCTTCTTAATAGATTATCTTTCAAATTATTTTTATAGGTGGAACCACTTTTCTGCCTTGGATCACGTAATTAATAATATTCTATTTCATTTTGCAACAGTGAAACTGAGCTACTTCGAAAACTACGTCTGTGAGCTTCCTGGAATAAGACTGGTTTGGCACCAATACATTTGTTAGCCATTTATATTTAATTTGATCTAATTAATTTGTAAGGGATATACATCTCCAAAAGCCAATTAAAAAGTATAAAAAATAATTCTTTTTGTTTCAGATGAAGTCAATGAAACTGAATCCTCAGTTCCTGTTTTGTTTTTGTTGCACAGGAAACTCTGCGAACAGTTCAGCCATTCGATCTCAAGCAAAAGGTCAGAATATCAGAGATAATTCTAGCAAAATGTTTTCTATGTACAGATAATAATGTATTGTGGTAGCCATAAATGTGGGATTCATCTCATTTAATTATTTAAGAGTAAATAACTGTAAAATCAATGTTTGTGAAGAGTCGCTTGAGATATCGTTCTGATACTGTATAATTTACCCCTTTGAAACTACTGGACAATTTTGTAGAATATGTCTACAAGCAAAAGTATTATGTTCTCATTGCAGTTGAAATGGTATAGATAATTGGGTTATCTTGATCAGTTCCTTTATTTTTCAGCCTACTATTTACAATTAGAAGGTTAATCTAAGTCCTTTGAGTGTCTATCAGTGAAGAGGAGCTTTTTTTTTTGTTTTTTTAATTTTGCACAAAGCTACTTAACAGCTATCTGCTTTAGCCGTCCCTCATCTAGAAGTGATAGACTAGAGGGAAGGCAACTAGTCAATACCGCCCACCACCAACTCTTTTTACCAACGAATAGTGGAAATGGCTCTCACTTTATAACGCCCCCACGGCTGAAAGGGCGAGTATGTTCGGTGATTGGTATATGAAACACCAACCCTCAGATTGCTGGTCTAACACCCTAACCACCAGGCTATGCCAAGTCCCTGTAATACGAAACAATGTTTTGCTTTTCTATTGTTTTTAAAGATTCTGAAAACACTTAGAATTGTATTCAAACAGAATCAGTTTGCTCTTTGAATAAGAGGTGAAGTGAAAAAATGCTGAAAATGCCAATACTGAAATATGTTACTTGAAACATCCATATTATTCCTGATATAAAGGTAGTCTATTCTGAGTTGTCCTAGAACTATTACCAATAGCAAAATAACTATAGGATTGTTGTTAAAATTACCCGATGTTAGTGTAAAGCAACTGAAGGATTCCTTTCATTATTATAAAATGTTGGTTAAGAGTAAATGGATCCTGGCAGAATTGAATTTGAAAGTGGTTGTACAAAAGTTATATAATGGCCGTATCTCTGGACAAACCATTACTCTGGGATTTTTAAAGGGTCAGTAAATGTCCGTGTAGAACATAATGTTCTTTAAGGCGTTACTAGTGCCGGGACTTACTTGAGCTACTTTGTCGTTATTTATGTTTACACGTAAATTGTTTTTTCAAAAACAGGTCCACTTTACCCAGCTGAGTATCTCTATTTTTTGTTATTATTGTTGTTGAGAATTTCACCCATGTATCTATCTAAAGGTTTGGTTATTGTGACTCTAAGGATACAAAATTCACCTCTTCTTGCTACAAAAATGTGTTCCGCACTGTAAGGCCCATGGTGCGTTATAAGAGTGACATTAAAAATCACACTTTTGGGTTGGACTAGCCCAAGAGTTAGCGGAGGATATTGTTGAATAACTGCCTTCCTTCTAGTTTATCAATTCAAAATTAGGAACTGACAGCACAGATAGCCCTTGTGTAGCTTTGCATGAATTTTCGAAATCAAGAAATCATTCATCATAGGCCCGGCACGGCCAGGTGGTTAGGGCGTTCGACTCGCAATCTGC